TGAACCGCAAAGCACTTGAATGCGGTTGGAAGAAGAGGAAAAAGGCAAGGCTTATGGGTTTCTTTCCTCAATGGTTTATGGTAGGAGAAGATCGGAAGGGGAAAAAAAGGCCTCAGTGCTTCTACACTACTACTTTGCTCGTTTCATCGCAGAGGCGGCAAAGTTGAGACATGGATGGAGTCTTGGAGGACGAGGAAGTGTGTAGGATATTGTGAACCTTTGCATTCCTAAACATCGGAATGACGATCTGAAATGGCCGAATGGAGGCCCAATGTGTCATTCGAAAATGAAAAAAAAAAAAAACATTGCGACAGACATGTTTCTAAAGAAGCTGGTCCCGCATACGAAATGCGGGTGTTCTCTCAACTGTTTCTGTGATGGAACGGAGGCTAGCCGCCCTTTTAAATGAGTCCTTAGTGAGGCATTGTTAATTGGGTTCCTGTCTTTTTCTTTTGCCGCATAGGTGCGTTGTTTTTCGCTCCTTCAAGTCTTTTGATCTTTGGCGTCGGTGTCATATGCTCGCTAACTCTTTAGTCCCTAGGGCTGCCCTCGTTGAGTCATCATCCTCTTTCGCCGGTGGTGGATTTTTTCTCTTTCTCAAATTTTTGTGGTCATGTGCGGTCTCTTCTATTGATTATTGGTAAGGGAATGTTCTCCTCATCTAATCATATCAAGGTCTCTTTGTAACTACCCTTCTTTTGTAATGATTTCTCCCAGGGTTTTGGTTGACCCCGCACTGAGGTCGCAACATTCTTCCTTTGTGGTCTCTAATGTTTCGAAGATTGTTCCATTCTCTTAGTTCTTTATTGTTGAGCCTCTTCCATCTCAACTTCACACACTTTTGCTAAAGTTTGTTTATGATTCAAATGTTATTGAATTCTACCCTTCCCCATTCAATTTTTTTCAATCCCTTTTCGTTAAAATTTAGAGGCTAAACAAAAAAAGTTTTCATTTTTTCAGGCATAACTTCTCCTCTTTTTTTATGAGATTTATATGTTTGCTAGGTTATCGCCTTTGCATTTATTGGCAAATTTTCAATTGGTCATCCTACCGTTTAAGTAATTTGCAGGTTCATCTCTATTTTACAGTTGTTATATTATTATTTTATTGGATTCATTGATCCTTATCGTGTTATCATAAAGCTTTTTTTGGAAGCAAAATATAAACTATATTATTGAATTCATATGCATTTTAAAGTCTACTCTCATCCTAGTTTGGATATCATTTTTATAAACTTGTGTACACTTCAACTAGTTCATGTTATTCTTCTTGGCTTCAAATTTTAAAAAACTTCTGCAGATGGGTGCTGCAATAGCTGTGGTATTAGGCTCCTTGGAGTGTTGGTGGAATGGGACATAGCTGCCTAGTCCCATAAAGAGACGTGGATTAGATCTTCATGGTGTGGATATTGGCAAAATGTGATGAATTTGAAAATATTCCACCATACTGCTCCTATTGTCAAATTTTTGGACCTAAATTTTAAATTGTTTCAAAGCTCATCCTGATGTGTAAATCCTCAATTTATTCGCTGAATCTTCTACTAATGACTATTTGCTAGAAAATCATATTCTATTTCAGTTGTTTCTCAAAACATGGTGTAAGCTTCAATTTTCGTTCAGGAGAAAGTGGTTGATAACCATGCGCCTGTTAGCTCTCTGGTGTTGGTCACTTCATGTACTACGAAGTATATCACCAGGAGTCCATCACAAGTTTTAAAAACACCTCAACCTCTTTCCATTGATGAACAAAATAATGATTATTCATCACAACATTTATGTAATTTGTTTAAAGCATGCAGAGTATCGACTCTCTTATGGAGAAAGATTTCATGTTCTTCATGCCAGAAGGGATTGAAATCAAAAGAAAATTTATCACACTTTCATTTCAACTGAGCATCAAGCTAATCCAAATGACAACTATGTAGCTTTATCTTTTTTTTTTTTTCTCTGACATTTTTTCAATAAATGTTCTTTATTTACTTGTATCATTATCTAGTTAATATGTTTTTCATTAGGAAAAAAGACATGTTTCCTTCTTGCGTCCCTATTACTGCCACCGTACCATTGCCCTGATAATGACATGATTAGGTTGAGTTGCTGATGTGAATTATTTGGTAAGTTCCAACCTAAGATTTTGAACTGTGGTTTAAATGGTTCTAGCTGGAAATATCACTGGCGATTTCAAATTAGAATTTATTATGCGTTTGGAGATTTTTTAAGCCATAGTTAAATTAATTATTTTAGATTGTAATTGAAACAATGATTGACACCGTTCTTGGGTCCCTAGAAGGTGTGATGGCACACCAACGAGTGCAAGAAAGTTGTAGAAAGGGTAGCAGGTGTGGGAGGATGTAGGTTGGCGAAAAATCAGCATGTAGGGAGCCGTACAGCGAACCGGAGGTGACAAAATTGAGAATTTCTGCTTTATCCAGCAGTTGGAAATAGGTAAGAACCGAGGCTGTCCGGTGGAGAACAGTGAGAAAACGGCGAATTGGCGAGGTTAAGACACCGAGGGGGATCCACCACCTGTTCTTAGGAAAGCTACCGACGCAGCACTTGCAAAGGAAGAGGTTAAAACACTCTCGAGAGGAAGATTTAGAGAAAAGTCTCTCAATTTCATAAATCAACCAAAAACTGAACTCCCAAACACCATACTACAACATATATAAAAGTCACCTCAAATACCTAATTAGCATCTAGGGAAATAGGTAAGAACCAAAAAAATCAGAAAAAAGGGAAGGAAATTTGCTGGAAATTAAAGGAAAAAAACAAAAACAAAAACAAAAATAAAAGTCAGTTGGCGCTAGACTCCTGCGAGGCTTCGGTGTTAAACGTCAGTTGGCGCTAGACTCCTGCGAGGCTTCGGTGTTGGATTCCACGATAGCAGGAGCCGAGAATCCCGCGGTATTACGGACTTCCCGTAATTGGGATCGCGGTACCGTGGTAATAACGTTCCGCGTTATTGATGTCTATATCCAATGCCCGTATTGATATTTTTTATATTTTTTGGCTTTACGAATTCCTTAGTTACATTTGTAAACGTGAAAGGTCATGTCCTGCTGGTACCATCAATTAAGTTCCTAGAATGTTAATGTATTGTTCAAAGTGCTTATGGTAACTTAGTTTCTGATTACAAAGAGAAATTAGCCTCTTTTAATCCACTTCTGCAATCAGGCCAGCCATTTATTCTGACGTTCTCTATCTCGCCACTACCATTATCTTATAAAACCGTCAATCATTCATATTGTAATCTTAATTTCCCTCCATCATTGCCAATTTTAGTATCATCTATATCTCCTTGCTTTATTTATACTATCTTACTTTCAATATAGAGTTTTTGCATCGTCAATTTTACTCCTTGCTTGCATATATTTTCTTTTTCTTAAAGAAATTGATATTAATTGAAATGTGCGGAGCTCATATAGTGGGCTAATGTTTGCCTGTAGGTACTCATAGCTTGTGGACTAGGAAGCAGCAAGATGGATATTGATGACCCATTCCGAAAGCCAATGACTGGAATGTGGAAAGTTTTTACTGAGCATTTCAATTCTAGCATAGCCGTTGACATGAGCCAGTTACTTCTCCTTCTGATCTTTAATTAGAAGCTACTTTATGTTTGTTTGATTTACAATCTTTAAAAAAAGGTGTGTATGACTGTAATTTTATATTTATACAGAAGCATGGTGTTTTTTGGCCTTGTTGGATCCCATCTAGTTGAAGCTAAGTAATGTATGCTGAAAAAAGGATGCGGCTAAAAGAGCTTGGATTGTTCATTCTTTGAACGGATATTTATATACAAAACTATATAGAAAGAAAAATAAAAAAATAATTGCAATAACAAACACAAAAAAATGCCTTTAAGTATCCAAGATTTAATCATTTAGGGGTATTCAATTAATGCCAAGGGAGCAATCTGTTGGCATTTGAATTTGGGAGAGATTTTTTTTTTATTAGCAGTGAATTCGTGGCCTCTAATTTTCTTGTCCAGCTCCTTTTGCCAACCTTTTTTGATTTGGTGGCCTATCCTTCGAACTAGATGGTAAAGATCTATTGTTCCAATTTTATTTATAATATTTTTAATATGGGTTTGCTCAGTGCTTTGGTGAATGTCAATAAATTCTATTTATGTTGGGACATATGGAGTGCCAATCAATCTATATTTTAATTTTCCTTTTATATAATGTTTATCTATTTTTATATGTCAGGTACAATCATGCGTCCATGATTATGAGCAATGTTGATGGTAGATTTATTGTCATAGGATATTTCAATAGATTTTTCAAACTTAACATTTAACTCATCCAATATTATCTTGATTCATAAAGCTCGCTGATTTCTTTGGTAATTGCCCTGAAGTTATTTTCAATATTAGATTTTGATACAACTTGTTATTTGCTGCTCCTCCAAGTTATATGAGATTTTCCCCTAGTAATGTATAGTATTCTGAAGTGGATCATCTATCTACGGCTGATCTACGATAGTCTGAACCTGTATATTCTTTAAATTGTAAGGTATCTTTCTTTCTGTATGAAATTTATTCCCTGCAAGTTTATTAAAGGTTTGAAAATTTTGTCGTCAGTTTGTGGGTGAGATTCTTAGATTTATGTGTGAAACTTGCTGCAATTGTGACTTTAGGTTGAGTATGAGATAAATTAATTTTTTATGTAATTTTAGAACTGTCCTGTGGTTACTTTTGACTAGTTCTTTATCTTTGTTCAACTTCTCACTTTGTTTAGTTGACATTTCACATAGCTTGCACTCTATTATTTTTGTTTTCTTTAGTAAATTCATGATATATTTTTGATAGAGAAAAAAAATTATCGTTCAGATTAAGTAACTTTTAAGCTCAAGAGATATTTAAGTTTGTCTAGCTCTTTGATTTCAAATTCTTTGACAAGTTTCATTTACGTTGGTCCCTCTTGAACGGGCGCTGAGTCCACTAAATAATTTGAAGACTTATTTTAAGCTCAAGTCTAAAGGGGCAATTTAGCTCTTGTTAGTTATTATTGTTTGGTATAAATGGGGCTTGTTATCCTTAGGGTTAGTTAGGATGAGATTTTTGTCTTGAGTCTTAGGATTAGGGTTTGGGAGAGATTGTCTACCTCTCAAATTGTTGGTGTTTATCTTTTATGAATTTGAGTTGTGTTGTTGAAGTAAAAAAAATTATCTGCCCTAATTTTGTTTTAAAATTCTTCTCCGTTCGTATCAGTTTATTACTTAGGGCCTTTTTCTCATGATTGTTATTATTTGTAATATTTATATTTACATATACAATGATGATTGCTATTTTTTCAATGGAAGAATGCTTAATGAAAAGTGTATGGTATTTTTAGCTTTATTTACATCTAACTTCTCTCAGAACTTTTTTGTAAATCCATCAAACCAAACTCTTGGAAATTATTTTAATCCATATATAGCATTTTTTAATTTCCACTCCTTATTGTTTGTGAAAGTATTGTCAAATTCTTTTGGTGATTCCATAGAGACCTCTTATTTAACATGCCCATATAAGAAAGCTTCTTCACATCAGATTATTGCTCTTCACATCATATTGATGCATATACTCATCCAAAATTAATAACTAATGAAATCATAATACCGATTGCATTCATTTTTTCAATTTGGGTAAAAGTTTTTTGATAGGTAATCTCATAGAATTGAATGTAAATTTTGCCTTTAATCATTCCCATTTACTTAATATTTTATAAAAAAAGTTCACTTGTATCTCAAAATTATTTTCCCTTTTGGTAGGTCCACAACCTTTCAAGTGCGATTTTAATTTAGGGCATTCATCTCTTCTGTGATAATCTCCTTCCATTTTAATCTCATAGAATTGAGTGTAAATTTTGCCTTTAATCATCCCCATTTACCTAATATTTTATAAAAAAAGTTCACTTGCATCTCAAAATTATTTTCCCTTTTGGTAGGTCCTCAACCTTTCAAGTGCGATTTTAATTCTGGGCATTCATCTCTTCTGTGATAATCTCCTTCCATTCCTCATTTTCTAGTACCTTAAATAGGATTTGTGGTATTGTAATAGAAATGGAGATGATATTTGTTAAAAAGGGTTATGTGTAAGGGAAAATTTTTGAAGGATAAATAGAGAGATGGGGTATAAATGAGTGATAATGAAATAATCATAGCTAATTAATAATAGTTCTGAATCATGATCTTGTCGGAAATTTTTGCTTCACTTATTACTTTTTATAGAGACGTGAAGGGGTGCAATACTAGGATTTATTGGATTTTGTGTTATAGTGATATTGAAAAATTGAGGTTTCATCAAACTTATCTTCCAATTGTATATCCTCTTCCTGAAGATGAGATTGAATGAATAAACTTGACTTTTTCATCAATAGTGACATCTATTAAAATAATCAAGTCTTTTTTATAGTTGGATGATGGCATGTTTACCTTTTCGGTACAATAATAATATGTAATAAAAATTAAATTAATTAATAATAAACAGTATATATAATTATTAAATTAATGTAATAAATAAAAAATGAATAAAAATAATAACAAATAAAATGGGTTTTAATTGACACCTGTTACTAAATGTGTCATTTAAACCGCATGATGACATTTTTAGTTCTAGGACCATCAAACTGTTATAAATCGAAATCAAATAATTTGAGATAAAATTTCATGATAATGGCTCTATTGATCTCAAGATATTTGCATAGCGGTAAAAGGCTTTACTTAAATCCATGGTGTTGGTTTTTTTAAGACTTCTTTGCCAATTGCCTAATTAAATTATGTATTTCTTCTTTCTCTTCCAATTAATTAATCTTGGCCCATCCTTCATATTGATTTCAGTGTGCTTGTGAGGACAAAATATGCAAGCTTCAAAAAATCATACATGAATTCAAAAAAAATCCTAGTTTTGCTCAATAAACTTTGCAGGATTTTTGTTACTACTAATGCTAATCATTCCATTTTTGCTTGTCTCTCTTCCTCTTGCACAAATTATTCTTTTTGTATGTTTTTGACATTTTATTCACCTCGAATGGCACTTCAGCATTACTCATAAAGTAATATCTTCAAAAAGGCATTTGCTATTTTGTAGTTTCAAATATTTTCTTATCATGGAGCTTGTATAGAAAGTTTTTTAAACTTGGCCATATTGTATAAAAAATTATCTTAATTTTTTTTAAATTAAATGAAAATATGACTTAATTTTTTTTTAAATTAAATGAAAATACGACACTCAATAGGACAAAATGGAGAAAAAGGATTCGCGTAGCCGACCCCCCTTAGTGGGGTACAAGCTTGTTGTTGTTGGAAGGAAATACACCACAAGCCATCTTGATAAGAAAGGTCTTTTTGGGAGTGACTATGTTGATTCTCTCACGAAAACTGTGCAGTTATCCCAAAGTGATGCAAGCTTTGAAGATGATTTTCATTATTGGCAACAAATTGCAAAAATTACTTTAATTTACTGTTACTCGATCTAGTTTATCCTTTTCTATTATGTCATCAGGCAGGATATTCAAAACTCCAACCAAAAGTACTGGGATGTTACAAGAATTGTAAGATATATAAAATATTCATTAGGGA